GACCGTTTTGACCGTTTTTGACCGTTTGACCGTTTTGACCGTTTGACCGTTTTGACCGTTTTTGACCGTTTTTGCACCGTTTTGACCCGTTTTGACCGTTTGACCGTTTTGACCGTTTGACCGTTTATGACCGTTTTGACCGTTTGACCGTTTTGACGTTTTGACCGTTTGACCGTTTTACCGTTTGACCGTTTGATCCGTTTTGACCGTTTTGACCGTTTTGACCGTTTGACCGTTTTGACTGTTTTGACTGTTTACTATTCCGTCCTTCCGGCAGTCCCTCCGTCAGTCCTTTCCGTCAGTCCCTCCGTCAGTCCTTCCGTCATCCGTCCGCGTCAGTCTCAGCATTCCGGCGTCACGGCCGTTCGTTCTTGTCAGCCGTTCGGTCTTCAGGCGTCGTCGGTTCAGGCCGTTCGTCTGTCAGGCCGTTCGGTCTGTCCAGCCATGGCGTTCGTCTGTCAGCCGTTCGTACTGTCAGGCCTTCGTCTGTCAGGCCGTTCGTCTGTCAGCGCTCGTTCAGCCGTCGTCGTCAGCCGTCTCGTCTGTCAAGGCCGTTCGTCTGTCAGGCCGTTCGTCTGTCAGCCGTTCGTCTGCTCAGGCCGTTCGTCTGTCAGGCCGTTCGTCTGTCAGGCCGTTCGTCCGTCAGCAGTTTCGTCCGTCAGGCAGTTCGTCCGTCAGGCCGTTCGTCCGTCAGGCCTTCGTCCGTCAGGCGTTCGTCTGTCAGGCGTCGTCCGTCAGCAGTTCGTCCGACTCAGCAGTTCGTCCGTCAGGCCCGTTCGTCCGTCAGCCGTTCGTCGTGCAGGGCCGTTCGTCTGTCAGCCGTTCGTTGTCAGGCCGTTTCGTCTTCAGGCCGTTCGTCTGCAGGCCGTTGCGTCTGTCAGGCCGTTCGTCTGTCAGCCGTTCGTCTGTCAAGGTCAATCGTCCGTCCGTAGCCGACTGTCTGTCCGTTCAGGGCCCGACATGCTTGTAGCACTGTCTTCCGTCAGGCCGACTTCTGTCCGTCAGGCCGACTGTCTTCCGTCAGGCACTGTCTGTCCGTCAGCCGATGTCTGTCCGTCAGGCCGAACTTCTGTCCGTCAGGCCGAATGTCTGTCCGTCAGGCTAATGTCTGTCCTTCAGGTTCGAATGCAGTCCGTCAGCCGAGAATGTCCCGTCCGTCAGGCCGACCGTCCGTCCGTCAGGCCGACCGTCCGTCCGTCCGTTCTTTAAGCCGACCGTCCCTCCATGAGGCCTGCCGGCTGGCCGTCAGGCCGATAGTTAGTCCGTCAGGCCGACTGTCCATCTGGCCGGCTGTCTGTCCGTCATGCTACCGTCGGGCAGTTCATCCGTCCGTCAGCCCGTCCGTCAGTGCCTCCATCCGTCCGTCAGTGCGCCCGTCTGTCCGTCCGTAAGACCCACAACGCACGGGTGGGTGACGAAACGGCGCAGAAGAGGAAGTGGGGGGGGGCGAGGTGGTTTCGTAAATTACACTTTACGACGCTCATATTCGTCCGATTTGCATGATTGCCACGGCGTTGGATTCAGGAATCATGTCACCATCGCGCTATAAGGCCACATTTTTAAATTTGTTCTCGTAAGTTTGAGAACTAATTTCAAATTCGCTTTGGAAAAAGATCATCGTAAGCGAAATTCTATTTTTAAAAAGGCGTCAAATACAGTTTACAGATCGAAAATCCGGACTATTGGGTCCAGACGTTATCGTAAAGTAAAAATTTTACTTATTTTGTGCTTTGCCACGTTGGTGCGTACAAAATTTACTAGTGTCGGCATATTTAGCCTTAACACCAATACAATGTAACTCTTTCTCTGAAAATAAAATCCTAAATGCTTTTTACGTTTTCACACCAAAGAAAATTTCCAAAATTGTCTTTACGAACCAAATAACAAACGTTTCGATTCTATCTGAATTCATAATTCAACATGTAAATGGGTTAGGGTTGGGGTAACAGAATTTTCAAAATAGTTCAGAGATTACATTTCTCGCCTTAATACGTCACACTCAGTTTTCTATTTTTGACATGAAATAAAAAATATAAACAAATAAAGAAAACCATGTCTCAATGCTCTAAATGTTCAACAAAGAGGAGAGTTCAAAAGAATTTTACATTTCATTATCATATATTGTTGCCATTCAACAATGAACTTTGCTGCTTTGTTTCCCAAGGCAGCGAAGGTAGTAATACAAAATTAATGTTCGTATAAATTAATGGAATTCTAGCTTTCAGAAATGAAACATAACACAATCAGCGATCAAAATGTCTTGAAGTAAAGAAGTAATTTGTTAGTACTAAGATAAATTTATTATCTTCCTTCAATATACTTTCTTTTATGAGAATAGCAATAGCTTACAAACGCCTCTCAAATTATGTTCAGGAAGCTCAGTGAATACGGAGCAGGGGACTATGATTGTAGTCAAATTAGAGGAAAAATACTTATATTCCCAAAAACTTTAACATGACCTTATTCGAAGACAGTTTTTATGAACAATTTCATTAAGAAAAATGTATCTTCACAATTGTACTTGTAGGAAGACAGAGAGCTTTTGTATATTTTTTTAAATTTTCCAAAATGCAGGCATTTCAACAAATATGTGAAATGCACATTCTCAGAAGCGTTCTTTCCTCTATCTAAATTAAATAAAAAACTTAAAAAATCTGCCGTTTTTAAGAAAAAAAATGGTTTAATGAAAATAAAAAAAACATTTGTTTGACACAAAACTTCGCAAAAAAATACTCATGTTTTTGAAAAATTGAACATTGAGAACTACATTATTTTTATGATTTTCATGAACACATTTCATTAAGGAAAATATTTTTCTTCACACTTGTAGTTGTAGGGATTTTCCAAAAAAAAATTTGAATGTTTTTAATTTCGAAAAATCAGGGATTTAAACGAACCTCCTTCATTCTCTCACAACCCACTGACAAAATCGAATCAAAAACATTGAAACTATTTTGAAATTTAACTATTTTCTCGAAAACTTTGAAAATGTCCTAGGGGATTCATGTACTCTCTCGAAATAAAAAAAATCGATTTTAAGCAGATTTTCAACGGACAGCAATGGACAGCACCTGCAAAAGCTATTGTAGAATATAAATTTTGGAGAAAATTTGCTGAACGGTTTAGTCGCTAGTGACGCACAGATGGACAGCGAGGAGGACAGAGACGGACAGCAAGACACCACAAGACGGACGGACGGATGGACAGACTAAAGGACAGACGAACTGACGGGCAGATGGACGGACAGACAGACAGACGGACGGACAGACGGACAGACAGACAGACGGACGGACAGATGGACAGACGGACAGACGGACGGACGGACGGACGGACTGACAGACGGACGGACGAACAGATGGACGGACGAACAGACGGAAAGACAGACAGACGGACAGACGGACAGACGGAAAGACGGACAGACGGAAAGACGTACAGACGGAAAGACGTACAGACGGACAGACGGAAAGACGTACAGACGGAAAGACGTACAGACGGAAAGACGGACAGACGGAAAGACGGTCAGACGGAAAGACGGACAGACGGACAGACGGAAAGACGGACAGACGGACAGACGGACAGACGGACAGACGGGAAGACGGACAGACGGAAAGACTGACAGACGGAAAGACGGACAGACGGACAGACGGACAGACGGGCGGACGGACAGACGGGCGGACGGACAGACAGACGGGCGGACGGACAGACAGACGGGCGGACGGACAGACAGACGGGCGGACGGACAGACGGACGGATGGACGGGCGGACGGACGGAGAGACGGACGTTTTACCGTTAATCGATTTTCCGGTATCAAGGATCCACCAATCTTGGAATAAGGCAAACCTTTTTAAAGAATTTCTCCCTCCCTAAGTTTAGCATACAAGTTTATACAATTATTCGTTGTCAGGAGGCGGTAATAGGATTTTTTCTGCCTGAAATTGGCCGTTCTTTCGCGCAGTGTTCGATAACTTTCTATGTCGGTGCAGTGTAAGATGGGCAGTATAAATTGATAGTAATTTTTTATTTATTTATTTGAGATTTTACACAGTTGAATACTGTGTGTGTCTTGCCACGGGGGGAAGTATATTCTTTGCACGTTTTCTTAAATATGGCGTCCCTGCCCTATACCAAATACAAGTTGAATTCTTACTTCAGAAGGAAATGATCGATTTGGCAAGAAATGTTCACCAAATATTCATTACTGTTTAATAAAACTTATTTTCGAAGATAAATTATCTATAAATTTGATATCTTATCCCTCGTCCAGTTCTTACGGAATACATTCTGCCGCGACAAGGAGAACGATAATTTGAATAACTATTTCTCGCTGAACTCTAGGAGAGGTGCACAGGTAGAGAAGTTACATTTATGTCCAGAAGAAAAACAAGGGGCCTTCTGAACAATTTTCTTAAGGGATCATTGTAAGTGGAGGAAAACTCTGATAAGCAAGGACGTCATTGACCCAGAAGCTGAGATAGAGTACTTGCTATAGGTTGTTACAGTCCAAATGTAATATACTATAACAATAATACATGAATATCATTGTTAAAATTAATATTTCTTCTCTTTAGAAACAGTTATGCAGCAGAAAATATTTTACATTGTACTTAAACTTTTGTATCGATTTTAATCGCTTTATGCCATCTGACAATTATATATATATATATATATATATATATATATAAATATTTTGTAGTGAGCTGTTGAAACTGTTACCTGTTAAATATGATTAATACGTCGCATGTTATAGTTACATGCATCCAAGTGGGCTGAGAATCTATTCCCGCCCTTGAGTGAATCATTTTTGACAAAAACCACTGAATCGTAAATCAAGAGACAAGGTAATGGAAAAACTCCTTGATTAATAATCGTATTTAACATTAAATTAAGCCAAGTGCAAACACAGTCATAACTGAAAGCACTGTGTTTGAGTTTCTATTTGAGACAAATCCCAGTTCTGTACAGTCAGTGAAACAGGAGAAATGAGCATTTTTATTTGTAGTTTTTATGTATTGCGTGCGCCCTTTCAGAACATTTTATTCAGCATAAATTCGAAAATAATGAAGGTAAATTCTAACAAGACCACTCTTAGGCGCTTTTAGATGCCCTCAAAACACATATCAGAAGTTTCAATCAATTTAGAACGCATAAATCAAAAGTGTGTTCGATGAAATTACTTATGAGTGACATTTGCTCCTAATGAGTAGGCAACTCGTCGTACGCTATTGTTTGGCGCGACATGTTCTGATGCTGACGCGATCTTTTCTTCCTCTTTCTTGTCCAATCCTCTCTCTTCACTTACACACACTTACACTTACATACACTACTCTACTACAAATGTCGTGAGACTAGAGTTTATTTCGGCTGGGGCGGTGCCACGCAGGTGAGAGATACATATTAAGGAAAATCCCCAGACGTCGCCTTAGGTCACCGCACGACCTCTCCACCCAGTGGGGAGAACTACATAAACATGCACTACATTCACGGTTAAAACAATTCAATTACATTCTCAGAACCGTGTTTAACTCTATGTTTACAATGAATAGAGATTGTATTGTTCCAGAATCTGTAAACTTCCTTCATTTCATTAGTCTGAGATCATGTCCTAGGGTTCGAGTGCCGATGCTGGCAGGATTTTCGACACTAGCTTCTCAGCGAGGTCGAATTCAGTCGTTATCTGGATGCGAATTCTTGCGGCTGGCTGCTCTGATCAGTAGTCTCCATGATTTCGACGGGTCATGGGCCGTTCGCGATATTTCTTTCCTTTTGCTTTTTCTATCCTCATTCCTTTTACACTTGTGATGATCTGCACGGCATGTCCGGAGTTCGTTCGGGAGCTTAGAGCTTCTCTTGGCTGAGGCGGAGCCCCGCTGATGGGAGGTACCTGGTTGGGGAAACCCCCGCTAGTCGACGTGTACATAGATTGGCACCAGATCTCGCCAACCAATGGGGGAAGATCAGAGGCACCTCCTTCGATAAAAAACGTGCATTACTCTTACGGAACTAATGACCGTAGCGGTTGACTCTCCCGAAAACACTATTCAATAAATAAATTATTAGTCTGGAAGAATAAGTACTGAACAAAATAAAATAATTCTGAGATTTTATATTTTCCTTATTGTGCATAAGTTATACTTTTTTTGACATATTTTTCATATCTCTCTTTTGTGCGATGTAAGCGCAGAGGTTCAGATATTTGTACATTATGACTAAAATTAAACATTTTGAATCGAAAGTTTCAAACTTTGTAATTGACTTCATTTAAGAGTGCAATAATTGCGTTTGAATTTTCAACTAAATGTTTGTTTCCGAAACTTCTTCTAATGAAATCCTCAGAATGGTCAGTAAACTAAAAACACATATTCAGCTGATGGAAATTAATTTTCGGAATGTTTATTACATAGTTGTGCACTAGCAATTACACGCCTCTTAATTCACGTTTTCAATGCTACTTTGTATACAGGAATATATACAAATGTTTTGAAAACAGCAAAGCAAATTTTAATTTTAAAACAAGGCATTAAATATGATATTTAAATTATCGGCTTTTTTGTCAGTTTTCTAAAATATATCCGAGACCCTCTGCTATATGTGAATGAAAAAATTCTTAAAACATGAAGTGTTTGTTAACTCTCAACATCGATATAGAAAATTAAAATCTCAAGACGTTGTTTGTTAGATTAAAATTAAGGAATTTTGGAATATTCTTATATATTTCAAAACATTTTTACGTCGTTGACCATAACATTTTGATGTAAAAATACCTTAATAGACAATGCGTAATATTGCCCCCAAATTGGATATTCCAGTACGTTAAAAATGAATCGCCATTCAGACATATTCCTGTCCCTTCAAAAATGTTTATTTCAGGCAAAATGGAAAAGGAAAATAAACATGAAATAGTAATAAGTAAAAATATATTCCCTATTCAAATATGTTGTAGGATAGAGAAAATCTTGGAAACATTTTCATATGAAGTCACAATTCCCCGGTTTGAATCATAGATTCATTCAACCAAGTCAGAGCTCTTGGATTCATAAGGATTCGTTCATGCCCTCAACGAGTCGGATCCTCAAAACCGGAACATCTAACTTAGCTCTTGCTATGCAGAGAACGAGCATGGTGCCAGACTATGGCCAGAACCAGTTTTCATCGTATCATTTCATGCTTGCGATACGGTGCAAGGCAAACCATCGTTCTTTAGCGTGTCAAGTGTTGCAAGTTATGTCTTCGAAGCTATTTAAATTGGGCCAAAATGTGCAAAACAACTACAAAAATTTTTAAAACAGTTACGAATGAACTTCAGAAACCAAAGTTACAGATTATATTTAACTTTTTTAACACTACAAGCCACGGCAACCCTCCCGAGTGGCGGTTGATGTGAAGTCATTCTTGCACACCCGCCTTGGGGCGCTTCAGCTTGCCTCACCCCTATCTGTTTTTCGAGGGGAAATCAGAGCGGAGTGAGGGGAAGTTGCCCGTGGTCGCAGGGCGTCAAGCTTCCCAGGCAGGCAAATAACTCGTGCGGGTGAGGATTGACCCGGCCTGCATTCAAGTATAAAATACACATACATGTAAATACTAGAGATAAGCGAGAGGTTTAACAAAGGCGTTCATTTTCAAAACTATATATTTTTTAAATGCTGCTAATGTCATGTGACTTTCGGCCTGTCCTCTATTCGAGAAAATATTGAAGCAACGATTGAAGAAAAGTATTTGTGGTCATTTTTGAGAAACTTTTAAACGTGACGTGAGGGCTTTATATAAATAAATCCAAAAATTGAAGTATTTGAAAATTATTATATAGATTAAACGATAGATAATACAAACTAAATATTAGCAGACATACAAAATACTAGACTGAACAGACCAAAAGGACTTACCTCTTCCTAGATGTGTTTTTATTTTATCTGGTTCTATCAGTCGCCATGGCTTTGAGCTTCACATCCACGCACTCGCAAACACCTGTCGGAGTTTTCTTCATATCTTGGGGGTTGTGCCAGTTCTAAAAACAGGAAAAGGGGATGGAACAAGAAGGATTGCGCACGGACCGACAATAGGTGTACAATGCAGAAGACTGTGGTATGATATTTGAATTAAAAAGAAGAAACATTGTATGAATGTTCATATTTATTACAATTTTGTACAAAGCGACTTTCAAGTGAAATAAAGTTACTTTATTATAATATATTGCCATGAGGTTTTAACTGAAATAAATATAGCCGCATTTTATGCAATAAATAACATAGTTTGAGAGTTAATAAGAATCCATTGCGTTCCGATCATGTAAGATGATACTGGTTATGTATGGTGTAGTCTGGTTAGACATACGTTAGACAGTGTTCACTGTGACTTTTCATTGCGAAGTTTTCTGGCCAGGACTCTAAGCTCCCGCCGTTTAATTTTCTCATTTGCGTTGCGCGGTATTTCGTTGATGAAATGTATTCCTCCGTGAAGTAGCTTATACTCGGGTAGTTGGCCTAAAACACGAACGAAAAACAAACATTTTATAATAATAATAATAATAATTATTATTATTATTGTTATCATTATTATGTTAAATACTAATGTATGTTAAATGCGTAGATAATGTATTTTAATTCGTAGATATATTTAGGTAATATTATGTGGTATTATTTCAGCTACATGCAATACTGTTATTAACTATGAAATAAAAAATTAATTTTCTTGATACAAATCGACTTTTAAATATAAATTAGATTTCGTACAATAAAATGGAAATAATAAGTTTTTCCATTTCAGTGGAAAATTATGAACCTTTAAAAATATTGTCAATTGATTGGCGTAAGTAATATTGCGAGTGCGTGGAGAAGACACATTTTACTGGCACGAAACTTCAAAAAGTAGAAATACTAACTAAAAAGTATACTTGAATACTTACAGGAACATAATTATTCTAGAAACAAATATTATATTTGATTTGTCATCCGTGAAAACTTAGAATACAACAGTTTTGGATAGTTGGTAGAAAACATAGAGTTGCTTGTAAAGCATGTCGTCCTTATAGTTTCTATTTGAAAAGAAAACCTGCAGTTCTTATCTCAGAATTATGGAATTAAAAGTGTCAGTAGCTATGAAATCTTAGTAAAAATAGGCAATTAACATTAATATTTAACATTATATACATGTTTCACATAGAATAAACAAATCATCGTATTATCTAATAACAAATTATCTGGAATCAGTGTGTTATATATTAATAAAAAGTGGGAAATAGGGAAAGATCAAACGAAATCTAGAAGAAGAATAAAAGTATTTTAGGAAGTCCTTCATCACATCAGATCTTCTGAGTATTTTGGATTGAAAGCACAGCTTTCAGTCGCGTGCAAGCAAAGTAAGACGAATACCTACATCAAACAAAGTGATTTATTCAGTAGAATAATTGAAGGCTTGAAATGAAAACGCACGTAAGTGCCATTTTCACGCTTTTGAAGAAAATGAGTTTATGAATACGTTGAACCTGTTAGCACAAAGACGTCTTGCCATTTATAGTCACACCGTAACACTATCAAGAAATACGTTCGGAATTTGGTTTTATTAATATTGATTGAACTGGATTCATTCATTATTATTTTGGTGAAAATGTAAATTTGACAGAAATGCCACTTATATCCTTTTTTTTATTTCAAGTTTTCAGTTGTATAAATGTTGATGTAAGGGCAACCCTACTTTCTATGCGGTTCGTATGTGAATTTCTAAACACAAATGTGACTTCCAACCTTTGAGGAACTGGTGTAGCTGCTCCGCGGTGACGTCGTGCCCGTCCTGCCTCACGACGAAGCCCACCGGGTGCTCCTGGTCCTCGTCGTGCTCGATGCCCACCACCGCCGCGTCACGCACGCCCTCGTGCGCGGTGAGGACGTTCTCAACGTCCGCTGGCGGTACCTGCAACAGGGCGTCCCTTGTAACCCTTTAGCTACCACACCCATACGAGGGAAAAATTAAAGAAAAAGAATGAATATATTTTGGGGAAATTAATTGTTTAAGATTTAAAAATTACCTATATTTGACACAAAAATACTCATATTTTCGAAAAATTTTACATGACCGAATTTCAAAATCTCTTTCCAAGGAACACATTTTCATTAAGCAAACAAATATTTTCTTAATGGTAGTTGTAGGAAGACGCCAAAATAATTGTGCATTTTTGCAATTTTAGAGAAAGCAAAGATACTAACAAAAATGAGACCTCGTTCTCTGAAGCGGTCTCTATCCGAGGTCAGCATTTAATAAAAAAATTACTGCTAGTTTTTTTTGGAAAATTTGAAAAGGTGGAAAACTTTTTCCAGGCGCTTCATATAAAGTACCTCTCAGAATTAAAATATCTTTCAAATTCATGGGGGTCTCGATATCAACCAGATCGATCGAAGAATATCAGTTTTCGTGAAAATCCTACCTACAGTTTAGCCGCTACCGTTGTTCAGAGACTGACAGACGGTCGAACAGACGTTTTGCCTCAATCACTTTTTCGTTGTCAAGGACTCACACAACATGAATTCTGACTACACAACGTGTAGAAGAACTAAATTAGGGACAAGATTTATGCACTTTTTCATTACTAGAGCCCGACAATATGAGTTTCAATACCAAGAATTTGCTGTTTCTTTTCCGCTACATTACACTGCTTCCTGTATACTACATTAGCAGAAAGTAAATATATATGGCACACTATCACAACACGCACACAATTATATTATTCACAATGCTATCGTGATTATTCCTCGGGTGTTGTTAAAAAAACGAGTGTTTCTCGATTAGCAGAGCCATTTCTTTAGACATTTATTATAATGCCGCGTGCATAAGATTTTATTACTCAGAACAAAAATGATTTTTCATAATAGACTTTTGAATATTGATTACACCATGCAGAGGTAAGTTGAGAAAATTGCTCTTTCAAACTACCCTCCACAAATATTCATTCTATTTCTGAAAATCTTCACAATATGTGAGGTTGTTCTTAAGCAGGAATAGAAAATAATACATTTTCAGATACCGGAAGTGAATGAAAACTACTGCAGGACAACACGTATATTCTCGCGGTAACTAATGTAAACACAACAGCTATCCACTTATTTCCCGCCTCAGCGCATTAAGCACGAGCACTTAATGAAAGGGTAGAGATAATACATCAACACAACTTGGAAAACTCTGTTCCAAACACCCACAAGCACTGCACAATAATGGGAAGTTATTCTGAGAACTTCTATCTGCCGTTCTCATTATTGTATTGCAACGTGATAACTCTTAAAAATTATAACAATAGAAGTGCGGGAAATTCGATTTTGGAAAAACGACAATAGAGAATTATGTAAAGTAAAGTATCTACAAAAATCAAAATATTCATGTCATTGTCATGTCGCAGAACTTTGAGTTCATTTAAATCGATTGAGGAATATCAATTTTTGAGAAAATCGTCTGAACGCTGCAGGCGCTAAACATGGATTATTACGCTCAACGTATTAGAGATAATTTACTACAACAAGAAACAAGATTTTTTCAATTTTTTGTTATCAATACTAGGCTGTAAGCGTTTTTCTGTCCGAAAATTATCAACTTCCAGCACGCGATTACAATACTTTCTCTTCTGAGATAGATTCGGTTCAGAGAATATTCTGAGAATGCTAACATTCCTCAACACAAAATAAAATATCCATAGGACGACCAGTGTGAACGTACTTACTTGAATTCCTTTATATTTTATGAGTTCCTTGTATCGGTCGACAACGTAAAAGTACCCGTCTTCATCGTAATATCCCGCATCACCAGTGTGCACCCAGCCTTCCTTGTCAATCGTTGCTGCCGTAGCTTCAGGATTGTTGTAGTACCCTGTGAACGTCATGGGGCTCTTGAAGCAGATTTCTCCTTCTTTGTTGGGACCCAATGCTCGACCAGTCTCTGAGTCAATGACCTGCATCAAAAAGAAACGAATGCGTTTCAGGATGTCAATATTTTTATTTATTTATGTATTAAAAATGAATTATCAAAATTAATTTGGGTTCTGACATTTCCAACAACTTAGCTGACTAACTAGCGAACTAGCAAGCAAGATAATTAGCTAACTAAATACCTAGCTAACTAAGTAGCTAACTAACTAGCTAACTAGATAGATAACTAACTAGTTAGCTAAGTAGCTAGCTAACTAGTTTGATAACTAACTAGCTAGCTAATTAACCAGCTAAATAACTGGGTAGCTAGCTAACTCACTGACTAGCTAACGAACTAGTTAACGAACTAGCTAACTAACTAGCTAACTAGCTTACTAACTAACTAGCTAGCTAACTTGCAGCTAAGTAACTGACTAGCTGGCTAGCTAACGAACTAGCGAACTAGATAACTAATTAGCTAACTAACTAGCTAGTTGACTAGCTAACTAAATATGTGACTAGCCCGTAAAGACGGCACTCACCTTCATCTGCACGTTGATGGAGACCTTGCCGACGGACCCGGGCTTCTCCCTGCTCTTGGGCCCCGGGAAGACGAGCAGCAGGCTCTCGGTGAGGCCGTAGAGCCGCACCACGGGGCAGCGCAGCGTCTGCGCGGCCTGCGCCTGCAGCGCGGGGCTGAGCGGGGCGCCGCTGAAGGTGGCGCTGCGCAGCGCAGACACGTCGTGGCGCTCGGCGCCGCGGCTCTTGGCGATGGCCGCCACCTGCGCGCAGATACACGCGTTCCAGTACGAAGGTCAAAGACGCAAAACTTAAAATCAAATTCAAATTATCAGCGCTAGTTGACGGGAGGGGTTGTGATTTGTTTTCATTTATTGCTCAAGCAGTTGGAACATGATACGGAAGATTGTGAATGTCGGAACATGTTACGGAAAAATGTACTGCTTGTCCGCCCCCTCTTAAAATGTTACTACTCTAAATGTGTGGTATATTCAGTGGTTAGGCGAAGAGCAGGCACTATGGCCTAGCCTCGCTGTTAATAAAGACATTATTATTATTATTATTATTATTTTAATTATTATTATTATTATATTATTATTATATTATTATTATTATTTATTATTATTTGTTTATTCTCAAAGTTTTTGGTTTCACATGGATACCACACACGATACAATATCAGAGCATGGTAACACAGACATATTTAAAATACAAAACAAATTAAGGCATTCTAACAAATAAACGTAAAATAAGTGTTTTCAGATTGTAAACATAGAATAATAGTTTTCAAATGCTAATAACAAATACAATTTCAAGAATGAGCTTCAAACCCAACATGTCCTCCCATGAATCTCCTGACTAGTGAGCAGGTGCTGATTATAACAGACTTCTGGAGGCCGATGATGATGCTCGTCTCCAAGGAGAGTTCTTCCAGCGATCTGCAGAGAGTTTTTGGTATCACGCCAGTTGCTGATAGTACAGTTGGGATAGTTTTTTACTTCCGACACTCGCCATTGTTCTTTTACGGCAATACTAGTTCTCTGTATTTGTCGTTTTAGTCTGAATATGTTGTCATCATGTTGCTGGTATTAACGACTGCAACATCAATAAATCAAACTTTCTTTGCAGATTTGTTCCAAAGAGTAAATATCAGGTCTGTGTGCTGAATTGTCCTGTCTGTCAGAATACCGCGTCCCAGTATAACTTATGTGTCTCATTTTCTAGTACCGCTTCTGGATGATACTGGTAATATGGTGCATCCACTTTCTGAGGTAGCCTGTGCTTATTAGCTAGGTTGGAATGGGTGATGTGGCTCACTTGATCGTGTCTCACTTTATAGTCAGTGGGAGCTAGACAGCTACAGCCTGATATAATATGCTGAATGGTTTCATGATCTCACCACACATGCTACATTCATCAGTTAGTACTCCTGGGTCTTTGATGATATATTTTAGAATATTATTTGTGGGATCACCTGATCTTGTATTGCTATCATGAAACCTTCGCTCTCAGGTACAAATATCCTATACTGAGCCATTTTGTATGACATTTTTAGTCGACATTTGGATGGCTACTGCAGCAGGATTATGCACCGTGGAGTGCTTTCTGTTTCCAGGAATCTATCTCTTGCTGCAAAGAGAGCTGATGAACTTATCACGTCATAGTTTTTAAATATGCCATATCTTTATTCCGTATTTTGCTATTAATACAAATACATTTCAATTTTACAGCTGTAAGATATGTAGAATCAATACGCACAACATCTATTTAAAAATAAAATACTTGTTTAATTCATCTATACCACTATGAACAAAATTAGGATATTTTTTTTTACCTTCTGAATTCGAATATTGCCGTCTCTATTCTCGCGCCTGTAGTTGCGCTCAACTGAGATGTTTTGGCAAGTCACGTGCACCCTCCTATTTCCTACTGCGCATCAGTCACCAAAAAGAATCATTTTAGCTCCTTGCCTTATCGCAAGTATACAAGTATCCAACTGATGAGGTGGATGATTCTGAATGTGTCAGTGTTATGCGGAAAGGCAACCCCATTGCGCGTGAAGTTCATGTCTGGTGTACGTGGGCCTCAAATACATTAATACGTTACAGTTCTGTGGGTTTGAAAAGTGAAATTCGCCACGTGATCTATAGAATTGAAGACGTTAGATAAAATGCAGATCGTCATTTCACATCAAAAGTGCGCAAATCCACCCGATAACTTCTATTGCGTTTGCAAAACATTTACTTAACTTACATAACTAAGTTTGAAACTTTCACCAAACTTTAAAGGAAAAAAATATATGAAATTTCAAAACTTGCTAATTCTGTATACTGTGGCTATCGTGTTTGTGATCCGAACAAACCATGGGTAGCTCACCAGTGTTGTGGCATGTAAAAGAACCCTGGCGATATGCCCGGCAAAATTAGGGCGATAGGCCCGCCCTAACTCCTGAAGTCATTTTCTAGCTTCCAAACAACCGGTAAGAAACGGCTCAAATTACATTTTATATTTCTATTACTATATTGTGCATGCTTTCGATTTCATTTATATTCTTGCATAGATTCTCAAAAATACTGTAATATTAAACTATCAATATTCCGCTGCTTTTTCTATCTTTCAATTATTAATATTTTAATTTGTCGTATTTTTAAAAAATAGTGTATTAATAAAATCTCAATTAATTTTTATTAGTAATCTCAACTGGATTTTAAATTTAAAAAAAAATGAATTCAGAAAACTTACGATGATGGCTAAGGCATCGAATACTGCTATTTCAATAAACAATATTATTGGCAAAGACAACGAAGGACTTTTTTTTTATTCGAATGCCAACGACAAATCACCTATAAACCAAAATCCTTTTTTTCGCTTATCACTGCAAGCAATTTTCTATGACTCGGGACTGAAAATATCTAGTTTGTTGCTAGCATCGCTCTATTGGTACTTTCCTTCACCGTTGCTTTTATGGTTAACACTAGAACCGCAGGAACCGTGCATACAGTAGTAGAAACAATATATTTAAAAAATCCACAAAAATATTAATAATTCACACAAACAACTTTTTACTTCCATTCTTTATCGCTAATATAATATAGTGCGTTAAAGGACGGGGAAGAGATTCTAGAGCTCAAGTACATACAATTGCACTTCTTCCACAAAAGTACAGTTTCAATTATTTTTTGGCAAAATAAATCAAATCATCAAATCAAATATTGTGAATATGAAGAGTAGATGGCGAAAATAGTGGTAATTACGCAAGTTTCACCCCTGATGAAGGCACTTCAAAGAACAGAACGTCGGCAACAAACAAACAGTGTTGGATTTCTTTCTACAAGACCTACCTCAAGTAAAGACTCAAGATGTGAAAATAATAAGTAAAAAAGTTTCAGCCATTTTCTATAAAACCTGAAAACGTTCACTGGGTTCTAGTAAAGCCCCCAAAATTAAAATATGTTAACGATTTCCGAAACGGCTATTCTAGACGTTACTTCTGACGTATACCAATTTTAAGCTCAAAACCGTCTAATCTACGATTTACGCAACACATTTTCATTCCAATAATTTTGAATGATCTTGGCTGTCCGTGCGTTTCATTTTCGGGTGCAAAATTGCGTGTACCTCCTCACCACTTACATCAATCTTTAGATTGGTATTAATAAACCTTAATTGCGATGCGTGTTCGAAGTTACAGCTTAAAAGAACCATTTTAAAACCGAAAATTGGAGATGCTATGTCGATATTATTCCAATGTGTTTGATCCCTGGACTGCAGTATAGAGAAGAAAAGTAAAAATAGAAGAAAAAAGCAAATAAAACAATTAAAATAATAAATTAAATAAATTAAATAAATTAAATAAATTAAATAAATTAAATAAATTAAATAAATTAAATAAATTAAATAAAATTAAATAAATTAAATAAATTAAATAAATTAAATAAATTAAATAAATTAAATAAATTAAATAAATTAAATTAAATTAAATAAATTAAATAATAAATAAATTAAAATAATAAATAAATAAATTAAATAAATAAATAAATAAATAAACAAAAAACTCAAAAAAGCAAAAGACCTGGGCCGGCGCCAGGTAGAGGTTGGTGATGCCGTGCGGCGACACGCTGCCCAGCAGCTCGTCCACGTCGAAGCGCCGGAACACCACGAGCGGGGAGCCCGCGCTCAGCGCCACCATCACGGTGAGGAAGCCCGACAGCCAGGTGTTGGTCGTCACCAGCGCGTGCACCTCCGGCTGCGGGGGCGTCGCGCCGGCCAGCTGCTGCATGATGAACCTGCAGGCGACACGGGGCCAATCAGAACGCTTCCCCACAAATTTACTCTTTTTGATTGTTTTGTTTCAATGACAAGGTAGATTGAAGTCGATAGTTTGGAACATCCGTTAATAATATTAGGCCCGCACAGTAAATCACCATTGTTTTTATTAAACAATCATTGTTTAATTATACAATCTGTTTATTAAACAATTGCCGGTGTTGTAACGCGCATTACTTAGCTGCGTTCCGCGAAAACGCGGAATGTTATGCGATTCGATGCATCACGGATTCCTTGACTGGTGACCATCTGGGAACTCACTAACGGCGCCGAGCTCCTCGTTAGAGGAATGAGGCACTGACTGATTGCGACGTGACGAGATAAGACAAAAGGGTAAGGGTGATGAGGCAAGACAATAAAGCTATTTTCTCGAAAATATTTTGTTCGAAAAAAAAACATAATATACCATTCTTCATGAAAGTCAACATAGAATCTGTGATATTTTTCGTAACTGCAGTTTCTGGACTCGTGTCTCTCCCCACCGGCTTGGTCCAGTATTTGCGAAATTCCTGAGCAAGGAGAGCGACGTACTTGACCGAGTGGAGGAAGAGGTGCCAGTTGCGGTGCGAGAGCATGACGCCCTTGGGGGCGCCCGTGGTGCCGCTGGAGAACATGATGCACAGCGGCTGATCGACGTCGTCGGACGCGTCCACGACGAAGCCGTCGACGGCGGCGGCGGAGGCGGAGGCCGCGGGCCCGACGAAGCGCTCCCATTGGCTGTCGCCCTCCGCCTGCGCCACCACCTGCGCGTCGGGCAGGGCCTCGCGCACGTGCGCAGCCGCTCGCTGCGCGCACAGCACCACCTTGGGCCGCACCAGCTGCAGCAAGTGGCGCACGTCCTCTGCACCACACATACCACACAGTAAGCCTTCAGTGTGCTGTTATGGAACTGATTTGAGGTATCCTATGGAACAGGCCCTGCCACACAGTTACTAGAGTTAGTCTTCAAAATACTCGTACAATTAAGGCAACCATCGCAGCATTTGAGGTAGTTATCCTATAGAAGGACCCCTGAAAAACATTCGCCACGGTGTTAGCCTTCAGTATACAATCAGGCAACCCATCATAACATATGAGGAAGGCGAATTCTATGGAGACCTCCCTTGCCACGAATTGCAGCGTCAGACAAAACAATTTGACAATCCATCAGATCCTAACGCTTGTGGTAGGACGAATCCTATATCACTTTCTCTCGTACAGAGTCACCATGGCGGAAGCCTTCATTTTACAGTTTGGCAGCCCATCATATCGCTTGGGATAGGAAAAATTCTATAGCACGTCAATGCAACACAGTCACCACAACGTTAGTGCTTAGTATACAACCAGGCAACCCATCATAGAACCTGAGATAGGACGAATCGCGTAGCACGAGAGTTATCATGGGTTGCCTGATTATATACTGAAGGTTACCGCTGTGGTTACACTGTTGCAGGGGACCTGCTATACGATTTGTCCTATCTCAAGAGTTATAGTACGTAGGTAAGAGACGAATACACTTAACACAGGCATCACGTCCCGTGTAATATGCTGAGGCACCCCGTCACATGACCGTTAGCTTTCAATGTATCCACGCAAAAATAGGCAACCCAACAGAATAGATATAAAAATTAATTTGGGACTCCTAAAACCTTTGGCCCGAATTAATTTATGATTTTTACTGTATGTTCATCAGAGTAAACAACCCAACACATACAGAGTGTCCGGGGAGGAATCGTCAAAACTGAAAATAAGCTCTTAAGACAAATTTAAGCATATTTCGTCAAATAAATTATTTGCATATTTCTTGGAATGGCTCTATAATTACTTAAAATGGCTGAGCCGCAGCGAGCACTCAAAATTTGGTTTCAAATGCTTTCTATGCAAACATTTTCATTCCAGAAGCATAGAAACAGTCCATAAACATACAAATTGCTTAGTATTTACAAAAGCAATGATTATATTTGTCCAGAAAGAAAAATTAACCGAGAAATTTAAAAAAAATCAGTCGAATTTTATAAATTGCGTGTGGTTTTTATGTCTAGATTAATATATTTGTTCAGAAAGAAAAAATATTGTTTTTGTAAGTAATAAACAATTTACAAGTTAATATATTGGTTCTATTATTCTAGACTGCGAATTTTTGCCTAGGAGCATTTTTTCAAACCAATTTCTAAGTATTTGTTGCGTCTCAGCCATTCAAAATACCCAAGTAGTTTATTAGACAAAATATGCATAAAATTGTCTTAAGAACTTATTTTCAAGGTATCCTAAACATTCCATTCATTCAATATTAAACAGCTAATGGAATTGATGTCCATAGTGAAGAAGGGAAGTACAGGCGAAGAGGTATTTAAGGAGGAAGTTAGCATGGAAGAAGGTTACGAAGAAGATCGTGAGGTGATGGCGATGGTTGAGAAGCAGCTCACCGGGCGCGAGGTCCGGGTTGAAGGGCGCGTACGCCGCCCCGGCGAGGAGGGCGCCCACCATCACGTACAAGACGTCCAGGGAATTGTCGAGCGCCGCCGAGACGACGTCGCCCGCGCTCACTCCCTTGCTGCGCAGCTCCTCCGCCACGGCCACGCTGCGCGCCAGCAGCTGCGCGCCGCTCACCGCCTGCCCCGACGACGCCTCCACCTGCGCAGCGCGCCGCCCCGCTCACTTGTTGCAATCTCGCTTCGGAGTAGGGAGAAGGTAATGGAATGCAGCGTGGAAAAACGGCGAGTTTTTTGACAGAAACCTCTTATTACAAGGCCCTGATAACGATAGAGTGGGTAATCCTATTGCGAAATTTACAAAACAATATCATCCAGCACGTGGTGTAGCCAGAATTCATGTTCTGTGGGTGGCTGATACCGAAAAATTGATCGACGGCAAAACTCTGTCCGTATGTCTATCTATGAACAATGCTAGCGGCTAAACCGTTGAGTCGATTTTCTCCAAAACTGATATTCCCCAATCAATGTGGGTGATGTCACGGTGCTTTGAATCTGAAACTGAAATTTTCGGAGGGTACTTTACAGAAAGCTTCTGGGTAATGTTCCGAATTTTGAAAATAATGGCTCCATTGTTTATAATTAACTGTTGTTGTTGGGTAGTGTAAAAATCAATGATCAAAAAGGCAAGGGAGGGTCAAGAGAATCAGCTTTTATGGAGAGCCAAATGGTTGGCCAGGAGGAGAAAAGTTCTTCATCTCACGTAAGCTTCCGTGGTTGTGGTGGAATTGAAGATGACTTCATAATATCAAATACTTTTGCTGACATGATCGTTGCCTTAGCAGCATCGTTAACCGCAGAACCGCGGTTTCAGTTCCCGTTGGGGTGAATTTCTGACAACACCTACACTGCGAGGCCGAATACAACTACTCGGTGGAGAATTCTGGCGGCCGATTGTTCTCGGCAGTAGTATCTCTGATCAATTTCAGGCATTACCGTAGCTATACTCTAACGGGGGAGATACCTCGAAAACTAAACCACTAAGCGACATGAAAGTTGAGATTGAATCTCCATTTTCAGTGGAAGGGGAACACTCATCTCCCGGAACATATCATGCACTGTACTTACGGGAATTACTACCTTAGTCATTGATAAGTCCAGAATTAATGCTCAGTATTTTAATACATATCTCTCACGTCATCATAATCAATAGATATGTTCATTTATTAATTTAAGTCTGTAGTGTTTTCACATATTTCATTTTCAATATTTTTTCGTGTGGCTTAATTTACGTAAATATTTCTGTCTCAGTTTAAACGGATGATTCTATGTATATAGAATACCTATGTATTTGGTGTAATCCAGATTTTACTGCCACAATATTCGAGTAACAAATGAAAACTACTTCGACAAAAACAGAGTAAACGGAAACCTGCTGCTTTAGCGCGTTTTTGGATGAGGTTGCATTTGTTTTGATAAATGAATATTAAACGGGTTAATTTGTGGTTTAAACGAGTAAAGACACCTGTGCAAACAAATGCGAACCGTCTTAATTCCTTAGTTAAGGGAAGAAATCGTTATCTCTTGAAGTAGCAGTAACTATTCGCGTAAGTATCTTGTAGCAGTTAGAATTCAGACACAATCGATCAAATAATTGAAATAAGGACGGATGTGATAACCAAGAATCATGAATGTGCCTTTAAGTATTTCGGATGCACTATCATATCTAATCATGTTGACACGTACATCGTACTCATTCGAGAACAATGCTTTATGAAGAAGATAACGAACTAATGCATTAGTGGGGCTGATGCTTTTTCCGTTAAAATAAACTTTGACCCTTAATTAAAATTCTGTATTTTCTATAATTAAATTTGAAATGGTGTTTTTGTTAATTTGGATAGTTTTAAAAAATACTATGTTTTTTAAATATTCCAAAGTGACCTAATTTTTAAGATGACATATATACAAATTTTTTGAAAGTGACTGAGATTAGACAATTTTTACTTTCTCCCAAACTGCATACATATTATAGAGAAAGTTCTGTAATGTTGCAGCGAAACACTACACGTTTGAGGCAGAAAAATTCAAATAGTAGGTTCCTGATACCAACAACTGGATAATTCATGTTCCTATTGTAACAAATTACTTCCTTTAACACGTTCTGTAATCAGAACATATATTTTGGGGGTCCTTGAATCCGAAAAATATGTTGAGAGCAAAACTTTTGCCTGCCTGCCTCCTGCTCGCCTGCCTTTGTAAGCAATGCTAAAACGGGTAAGCAGAATTTTCACTCAAATCAATATTCCCGAATCGATGTGGCTGATATCGCAGCCCCTTGAATTTGAAATCGATGTTTACATTTTTGGCGTTTCTTGATGTGAAGGCTCAAAACATTTTTTTTCAAAAATAGCTCAAACTGCTTTTTTTTTAAAAAAAAGTTGGATAGTGCAAAGGACGCTTAAAAATAGCACATGTCTGATTCGTTTAAATACCTAATTTTTTTAAAATTACAAAAGTTGAAAATTGTGTTGGCGTCTTC